AAGTTCTCAACCATTAGGAATTCAAATTCTCTTACTTTTGAAATAAATATATGTGATTTGAAAAATTCATTTCTCAATTAGCTTGAAAATAACTATTATAAGATTGGGACTTTTGCATTTAAGGAAAGCATATCTTGTAAAATAAAGGAAATTATAGCTAGAATTTTGCATGATTGATGAAGTTTCTTCTTTTTATTTGATTTTACAAAGTTGAGTGATAAGTATGATCAATAAATGAAATACTCTTCGCATAATTATTCGTTAGAGGGAATATCTATTTATTATTTTTACTTTTGAAAAAAAAAAAGAAAAGAGAATAAGAGTTGTACTTCTATTCTAATGGTTCATGTACTTAATAATTAGGAGTATTCATCTAAAAATATCAACTTTTGTGTAAAACAATACTTGACTTGAGAACATGCAAAGCAATTCAATTATGTGATGTGTTAAATAATCGAGAGTGTTCATCTAAAAATGTTGATTCTCGGTCAAAAAGCCACGTTTGCAATTTGAGTAAGTATTTGTTATATAAAAATAAATCCCTCTTTTTTATTCGTGCAAAAGAAGATCATAGGTTGAGGAAGTTAAATCTTGACTATATGATTTATTTGCTTGTGAAAATGGGATAGGATAAGGAATTGAGTTGAACTTGTTGAAAATATGGTATAATTCTCTCTCTCTTTGCTTGATATTATGAGTATTTGAGGTAAAATGAATGAATGTATAATGGTTATCTAGTTAGCTTTGAGGAATTAAATTCCAAGGGTGCACACATGTTTATTTCAAATGTTTGAATCAGTGTTGGTTTGTATTTCCTATCACTTGAGAAAAAGCAATGATTCAAGTATAATGAAATTTGATAATATTTTGCATAATTTTAGCATGTTTTATTGCCTGAATTTTTAATGTGTTTAAGTTATTTTAGGAGCTAATTAACTAGGTTTCTAGTTAATTTTGTACTTTGTGGTTAAGTTAGCAAAATTTCATTTCTATAAATTAATGTGGTTTAAACTTCATGTTTTTGTACGTTTTAATGACTAAATCATCAAATGGAGTGAAATGAGAAAATTTGGATTATTCTTAATGATTTCAAGTGATTTCAAGTGACATGAAATACAATATGATTAAAGTATGAAATGCAATCAAGTTCAAATGAAGAAAAGCATTGACAACCCTAACAAGTTCTAGTATTTCAGCTATAAGTTGAACTATAAGTATTCAATTGAGATTATTCTTGGAGCATTTTGGAGTTAGACCAAGGGCTACAATTATTATAAAGACATCGAAATCCAATTCACACATTGCAAGGATCAAAAAGCTGAAATACTGAGGTGCATTTTGGCTACCAAGATCTGAAGTTGCATTTCGACCAGTTAGGGGTATTTATATCATTTCTCAGTCTACAGAGCTCCTATTAACATGACTCTTGCATTGAAAAACTAGCTCAACAACTTTTATGTTTTGTACAAGTGCTAGTTTGACTTCCATTATCAAGAAATTTGCAACTTAAATTAGTGGAAAAATAGAGCAATTTCAGGATTAATCATAAAAGTGCAAACCTATAGGAAAGAATAAAATGCAAGCAAAAAGGGGCCTCTACTCACTTTTGTCACCCGTGTATTTTTGTTTTGGCTATATTATAACTAGAACCAATTGCACTTCAACTTGCAACTATTTCCTACTACTTTTTATATCAATTTTTTGAATAGATTTTGGTTGGAAAATGCAAGAAGCATCTTGCATTTTGGAGAATCAACTATTGGGAATCTCAAAATACAATTTGCACAACTTGAAACATGATTATTTGGGAAAAAATCTTCTATAAATAGGCCAATTATTTTGGAGTCTAGAGAAACTACACCAAAATGTAGTATTTCATTAGAACTCCCTAGTTCATTAGTTAGTATAGATAAGCACAGTTTTATCTAATCTTTGTGTAAGCTAGGCATAGATAAGGTAGAAGTTGAAGATGGAGAAGTTTGGAGCTCATCTGACAAGGGTGACATCTTGCCTATCACTTCATTTCTTGTATTGATTCTTATGTTTAGTTGTAAAACAGGTTTGGATCTTGTTTTCATGTCTTTTATATTTTGCTACTTTTTACACCTAGAGTTGGATGAACCTTCCATGACTGTTATGTGAGGTTTTCATGGCCATTTGAGTTATATCCTGAGCAAGTTATTTAGCATCATGATTAACTGATCAGTAATTGTGAATATTTAAAGGTGTTATATTATCATTAAAAGTTGTGATTTAATACTAGTTTAAGAAAGTGTTATACCTAGGGATTATTCTCACAAAAGTAGAGAAACATTTTGTGGCCTTAATCAGGTAATTTACTAGACTCTAATGAGTTGATAACTAATTTCTTCATTATGAAATGTAGGTGAAGGATAGTTATAGGTATGGTCAGTACGTCAGTAAAAGCAAGTATCACATACATTAGGAAATTAGCCATGACTTAGCCAAGATAATGAACTTCATTTATCTAGTAATTTTCATTGAAAAGAGCATATAGAAATCCCATAATCTTAGGTATTTTCCTTATTACTTTTACTACTTTTTATGCATCTTTCTAGCATAAATTTACTTACTTTAATCGTGATAGTCTAAATTATAGAGGAGTCTGAATCACATTGATAATTGACAATCTTACTTGTGGGATCGATGCTCAAAAACTTCCAATACTCATATATGATCTATACTCGTGTACGATCAGTGCACTTGCTGATAAGGGCTAATTTTGTGACTATTTTAAAGGTGTTTCATGTCATTTTTGAGTCAATTTATGGAGTTAAAGGTTATAAGTTGCTCTATTTGGCTTTTAATTGGCATCCTAAAATGAAGTTGTAGTTATGATTTCAACATTTTACTCGTATAATCTCTTTGTTTTTGTAGGGTAAAATGATCAAGCTCAAATGGGAATGAAATGGTGGACTAATAAATTAATGAATTAGAAACCTAAGAAGTCACAACGATGATGCAAAAAGGTGGTGCAACTCAAGAACTTGAAAGGATGAAGAATGGAAAGTCATAAAAGAAAAAAGGAGAGAAACACTGAGTGTTTCTCAAAGTTTCTAGCAGTTACTACAAGGGGTTATAGGCAAAGAGTTCGAATTCAAGGAGCAAAATAGGGGAAGGCAAACCTTAGGAGAATCCCCGAGGGTTTCTCACAAACCCCTCACGATTCATACATAAACCCTTCCCAAGGATTTGTTGGCGGGTGTAATTTGCCAACTTGCTTGACTTTTTGTTTCTTTTCTAGCCTTGATGTGACATAAAGAAATATCCGTATAGGCCATTTGGGGTTCTAGGAGCTTCTTTACTTGACTCTTTGGCAAGAAATAACACATTATTGAGGAGAGAGTTTAGTTCTTGAACAAGAAGAACAACTTTTCTCTCTAACTTATTGTAGTTTTAGTTTTAGCTTTAGTTTTCATGTCTTTGAAGAAACTTGAAGAACTCTTGGTGTAACACAGAATTTTTTATTGCAATGAAAATGTTGAAACTTGGTGATCATGTTTCTTCATTTGAATAAGCATTTCTTCCTCTTCATTCTCCTTATTGTTGCATTAATGTGTAGTTACATTAAAGATACTAGCTTTATTGTTGAATCTACCTTAACTAAATTTCCTTGTTCTAGGGATAGATGAAGTTATTGTGCTTTGATTATGGTTGAATATAGTTGATTGTTACTATCCCTTGTACTTGGTTATTCTTACTTTTATACTTGTGAATACTTGATCACCATTTGCAAGACATGATAGTCGTTAATTTATGAAAGCAGTTGACAATGATGGAAATGCAATAGTTGGAACCTAAAGAGTAGACCCACAAAAGCAATGATGAACTTAGGTGGATGATTTTGACATTTTTTGTGCTTGATTAAGTTTTCACTTGTGATTTCATTACAAAAGTAAGGAAACTATAATGTTGACTAAATTTGATTCATCAGCGAGAGCAAGTTCCAATGACTTGAATGAAATGCATCTTTAACAAAACAAGTGCATTAGTGATAATTGACTATTTCATCCATAATTAGGTACATTTAGTGGATTCTATGCCCTAGCACATTTGTGTTTAGTTGAATTTCTTCAAATTGTTAATTTTCCTTGCATTATTGTATTTTATTTAGTTAAAATTCTTGATTAGTCTAGACAATTGAATGAGCTAAAATCCTTTGTAGTTGAAAGTGATTCTCATGGGATCGATCTTAACTCCCTAATACTATGAGCCATGAATTGTATACTTGTAGTGAATGAGGAAATTAGGTTAAAATTTAGAACGTAGGTTAGAATCTTGTCAATTTTTTGGTGCCATTATAGGGAATCACGGCAATATTGAGGCTAAGCAACCTTTATTAGTCTAGGCATTGTGTTATATTTTGATTATCTTTTGAGTTTGTAGATAGAGTAGTTTAAAATTATCTTACTGTGTTGTCTTGTTTGTGGTCAATTTCTTGTGGTTTGTTGTAGTGCATCCATAGGGCTTTACGCATAATAGTTCCATTGGATCAGGAAATTGACAGGACTCTTAGGAAGCAACAAAAGTGAGCACTACAAGAAACTGTAGAGGCACAAGGCAAAGGAGAAATAACTATCAATCAGCAACCAATTGAAACAATGGCTAAGGAAGCAAATAGGCAAGCACTTAGAGATTTTGCTCTATCAGGAGCTCAGGGTGCTCAAACTAGCATTTTGAAGACTAATGGTAAATGTCAATAACTCTGAGATTAAACTTGCACTTGTACAACTGGTACAACAATCTCAATTTGGAGATAATGCTATTGAAGATTCAAATGCTCACTTGGATACTTCTTGGAAATTTGTGATACTATTAAGCTTAATGGAGTTAGTGAGGATACAATTAGACTTAGGCTATCTCTTTTTTCGAATATAGTTAAAGTATGTTTGCAATCTCATGCGCTTAAAACTTTTATTACTTAGGATGATTTATCTTGTGTTTTTTTGAACAAATATTTTTCACCTAGAAAGACGGCTAAACTTAGAATAGATATCACCAGTTTTAGTCAACATGTAGGTGAGTCATTATATGAAGTATGGAAAAGATTTAGAGAGTTGTTAAGAAGGTGGCCATACCATAGACTCCTTAATTGGCTTATTGTACAAACATTCTATAATGGCTTAACTTATATGACTAAAACTAATGTTAATGCTGTAGCGAATGGAGCTTTAATGGGTAAATCACCCAAGGAAGCTCAAAATTTAATTAAGGAGATGGTAGTTAATAACTATCAATAGGCGAATGAGCAAGACAATCTTAGAAGACATGTAGGTATGTTGGAATTTGACACCCTTAATATGCTAAGTGAGAAAATGTATAATGTTGTTAATTTGCTTAACAAGCAAGTTGGAGTTAGGTCTAGCTCTTATCTAATGTAAGTATTTTTTTTCTTGTATTATATGTGCAGGCAGTCATGAGAATAATGAATGTGCTGATTGTGAATAGGATCAGTCACCTCAAAACAACCCTTACTCAAACACATTCAATTCGGGTAGAGAAATCATTCAAATTTTAGATGGAAAATCCAAATAACCGACAAAGCCTGACAAATTCACCGGACTCTCAACCACCTATGAAGACCAAATCGATTTGAGAATTGGCAATGAGAGACTAGCTAATGTGTCTAATGATAAGATTGATAAGCTAGCTAATGCCATTACATAAAATTTGGAAGAATTAAGGGGAGGATAGACCAACTTGCAAACCTGCATAGGAATGTCGAAGTCCAACTTCGGCAAATAGCCGATGTTGTAAACAATAGGAACCAATAAGAGTTTCCTAGTACAACTGAGATCAGTCCAAGAGAGCGTGTTAAAGCTATCACCCTATGTAATGGTAAGCAATTGAGTGATCCTCCGATCATTGAGCGAGATAAATAAAGTGAGAGGGAAGAAGAAGAGATAAGCGAGGAAGTAATAAGAAGATGTGCAGGGGATAGGGATAAAGGAAAAGAGATTGTGAGTGACTCTTCATCTTCTGAGACTATTTCTATTCCATCATAGGTACCATTTTCTGAGAGTTTAAGGCAATCAAGGACTAACAAAGAGCTTTAAAATTTTGTAAAGATTTTAAACAATTACATATTTATATTCGCTTTGTTGATGCTATTTTGTAGATTCCCTCCTTTGTAAAATTTATTAAGGAGATAATGACCAAAAACGAAAGTTGGAGAACTGTGAAACAATTGCATTAATGGAAAAGTGCATGCTATTATTCAAAATAAATTGCCACTTAAGTTGAAGAATCCGAAAAATTTCTCCATTTCTTGCACCATTAATAAGGTTGAATTTTCAAAGGCTTTATGTGATTTGGGTGTGAGTGTTTCTTTAATTCCTTTAACAATTGTTAGGCAATTAGAATTGAGTGAGTTGAATTGCACTAATATATCTTTGCAACTAGTTGATCGATCTATTAGATATCTGATGGACATTCTTGAAACTATACTCATTAAAGTACAAAAGTTTATCACCCCTATTGATTTTGTTAAATTAGATATAGAAGGGGATGTTAACATATATTATTATCTTGATAGATCCTTTTTGGAAAGTATAGGTACAATCATTGACGTTCAGCAAAACCTAAGTTCCAAATTGGTGAAGAGGAAGTGGAGTTTGACTTGAATCACATGAAAAAGTGCCCCCCTTGTATCGATCATGTTTATGCTATTGGCATAGTTGAAAATCTAACCAAAGAGATGAGCTGAGTCAACCTCGACTATGATTCTCTTGAACTTTGTTTAAATGGTATAGGTATATAAGAGAAAGATACGAAAGAGATGACTAAGGACTTGGATGCCCAATTACCTTACAAGAGAGGCAATTCATATGAAAGTTTAGAGATGAGCAAGGACTTCCACCACCATCAGATCAACAAACTCCTAAGTTGGAGTTCAAGCCGTTTCAAAAGCATCTCAACTATGCATTTCTTAGAGAATGTGCGACATTACTTGTAATTGTGATTGTAAACCTTGTTGTGGAGCAACTTGAGATGCTTCTTAAAGTCTTGAGAAAACATTTGAGAGCTATAAGATGGATTATCTTTAACATTAAGGGTATTAGCTCCGCCATTTGCATGCATCAAATTTTTTTGTAAAAAATTACAAATCAATTATTAAGACTCAAAGACGGCTAAATCCAAATATAAAAGAGGTGGTAAGATTAGAAATTCTTAACTGATTGGACACAGGTATGATTTTTCTTATTTCTAATAGTATTTGGATAAATCCTATATATATGGTACCTAAAAAGGGTGAAATCACTATAATTTGAGGTAAAAATGATGAATTGATTCCCTCAAAACCTGTGATTGGATGGAGAGTACGTGTAGATTATAGGAAGTTTAATGCTGACACAAGAAAGGACCACTTTTCATTACCTTTTTTTGATCAAATTTTGGAGAGACTAGTTAGTTATGAATTTTATTATTTTCTTGATGATTTTTTAAGATATAACGAGATAGTTATTGCTCTCGAGAATTGAAAAAAGACCTCATTCACATTTTCCTATGGCACAGTTGCTTTTAGGCAAATGCCTTTTGGATCTACAATACCCCCGCTATATTTCAATGTTGCATGATGGCAATTTTCTTGGATTATATTGAGAAAATTATGAAAATTTTTACAGATGACTTTTCCATTTTTGGATCTACTTTCGATCATTGTCTAAATAACTTGGATTTGATTTTGTAGAAATGTAAAAAGACAAATCTCATTCTAATTAGGAAAAGTGTCATTTCATGGTTCGAGAAAGAATTGTCTTAGAACACAAAATTTTATCCATAGATATTGAGATGGATAAAACAAAGATCGAGGTGATTGAGAGGATGCATTCACACCAGCAATATTAAACGAATTTGAAACTTTCTTAGACATGCTGGTTTCTATCAATGATTCATTGAGAATTTCTCCGAATTAGCTAAGCCTTCATGTGATTTACTTACTAAAGATGTTCCTTTTAATTTTAATGATAAATATTTGTGTGCATTTAATAGATTAAAGAAGGAACTCACTTCTATGCCAATTATACCATTACCAAACTGGAGCTTGCCATTTGAGTTGATGTGTGATGTTAATGATTTCATAGTAGGAGCATATTTTGGACAAAAATGAAAAGAGAGATTGCATGTTATCTACTAGCAATATTAGTAGATTAGTTAATGAATTGCAACTCAATTATGTAATCACAAAAAAGAACTCTTGATGATTATATTTGCATTAGATAATATTAGGTCTTATTTAGTGGAATCTAAAATTATCATTTATATGGATCATGCAACTCTTAAATGCTTATTGAGTAAGAAAGATGCAATACCTCAAGTAATTCATTGAATTTTATTATTGCAGGAATTTGACTTTGAGATCAAGAACAAGAAAGGATAGGAGAATTTAGTGGAAGACCATCCTTCGTGTTTTGAATATGTCCCACATGAAGATCAAATTCCTATCAAGGAAAAGTTTTCGGATAAATTTTTGTTAGTAGTACAAAAGTCACCTTGGTATGCCGATTTGATTAACTATGTAGTTAGTGAAGTCATTCCAAAGGATTTGAACAACCACCAAAGGAAGAAATTCCTTCATGATGCCAAGCATTATCTTTGAGAGGAGCCATTTTTCTACAAACATTGTCCCGATGGCATGATAAGAAGGTTTGTGCTAGAAGAAGAGATACATGATATTTTATTGCATTGTCATAGCCTTGAAATGGGAGAACATTTTAGTACATCAAAAATAGTGGCGAAAGTATGACAATCAAGTTTTTATTGGCCAACTATATACCAAGATATTAGAAATTTTATCAAATGTCATGAGTGTCAAAGAACTGACAATATTTCTAAGAGAAATGAAATGCCTTTAACTATTTTCATGAAAGTTGGATTTTTGATATGTGGAGTATAGATTTTATGGGATCTTTCCTAATTTCTGTAATAATAAGTACATTCTTATATCAGTTGATAATATATCAAAATAGGTGGAAGTTGTTGTATTGCCTACTAATGATGTTAAAGATATAATTAAATTCCTTAAAAGGAATATATTTTGTAGGTTTGAAATTCCAAAGACCATTAAAAGCCAAAAAAGGTAAACATTTTTTGTAATAAATCATTTGACACTTTATTGTTTAAATATGGTTGCAGGTACAAGATTTCACTTCCTTAGCACCTGCAAGCGAATGGCCAAGTGGAGTTCGCTAATCAGGAGTTCAAACTTATCTTAGAAAAATGATGACCAAGTTGAGGAAGAATTGGGCAAAAAACTAGATGATGCATTGTAGGACTATAGGATGGCATTTAAGCATTTGTTGGGAATGTTGCCGTATTGACTAATTTATGAAAAGCATGCGATCTACCTATTGAGATTGAGCATAAAGCGGATTAGGCCATAAAGGCTATTAGTATAGATTTTCATCTTACAGGTGAGAAGAGATTGTTTGAATCAAGTGAATTGAAAGAACTTTCGTCGACTTCGTGTAAGAATGCCAAAATATATAAGGAAAAGATGAAATTTTAGCATGACAGGCATCCTTCCTAAACAATTTGAGGTTGGACAAAAGGTATCATTGTAGATACTATGATGATTATTCAATATAATTATGTGAACATAAAGAACCATAAAACCTTAAACTTCTCCTCCCATTATATGCCATCTTTTTCCTTTCACATTTTTCCTTTCTTCATGACAGCTCATGTCACCCTTCCAAAGAGTAATCATTTCCTCCCCTAAACCTAAGACCTCCAAACCCTAATTGTCCAATTCCCTCATCTCTACTGTTTTCGGTCCTCTTTTACTCTCCTACTTTGCTAATGTTTAGATTTACAGCCGGCATCTATTATAGGGTTCAAAAGGCTAATGTTGAAGAGTCGCTCCACCATTGCTTCTTTAGGAGCGATTTCGTCGACCGAAAGATTCCCTGTACGTTCATCGATATTCCAGTTAAGGCTGATTTTGATGTGGCAGTCGAAGTTGCAATGAAAGGAGGAAGGTGTTTTTTCTGCGTGCTGGGTACAGCCGTGGAATGTGAGGATGAGAAGGAAAAATGCAGAATCATCATGGAGAGAATCAATCGTATCCTAGACTCGTACATTGCA